ATCAAGGGTTGGACAATTCTTCATAAGTTTTGGGAGGCTCAATGCTATGTTTATTTTTGAATTGTTTGGAGGACCAGACGTGTTACATAAGTTAGGGTGGTCTGGTTGCCCTGACTTACGATGACTGTTTGTGATTGACCTTTAAGGAACGAGGCACTGTCCCATAAGTTTGAGTGACTTGGTTGCCTTACTTATTTTGGGTTTTCTCAATTTTTTTTTTTTTTTCTGAACGAGGGTGGTCTGAGCATGTTCCATAAGTTTGGGTGGCTCAACCCCTTTCTGTTTTATTTAAAAGAACAAAGTAGATCAGCCTCTAACAAATAATCCAAATGTGGGTGGATTTGGACAAGCAAATACGGAAATTGTTCTTCAAAATCCCAATGCCACGCACATGCTGAAACCAAATCGGTATAACTTGGCTATATTTTATTATTACATCACTTATGAACAGGCTAATCAGACAGGGTTCCATAAGTTTGGATGGTCTGACTATAGCCTATCACAAACTGAAGAGAGTATTAACTAATAATAAACTTGTGGTACGAAGGGGCTGACTGAATCTCGAGCTAAAGATGATAGGTTCAGTCATATGCTACCGTAAAAGACTATAAAACTTGGATAACTTAAACAGTTCAAGGTGACTAGGGTGGCTTAGTCACGTGCCCGAGGAAGAGAAAAATTGTAGTGCCTTGTATTTGTGTATATTCAATGACTGAGCTACACATGTTCCATAAGTTTGGGTGATCTAACTTTATGCCTTATGTAAGCTGGGTATAAAAGGATAAATCATTGAAAGACTATGAACTATTGTTTAATAAGGTTGACTAAGGGATGGTGAAAGTACTTACCTTTGTGGTTGGACCTGCATGTGGCTGGGTGAGATTATTTACTTAGTTTGAGTTTTAATTTGACAGGTAGTTGCTATAGATGCTCGTCAAATGCCAAAGTCATAGGAGTTAGTTTCAATCCATGCATTTTCTTAACTACGATTTCTGCGTTTTCTATGATAATTTATTATACTTGCTCTTGTATAACTCTTGGTAATTTACTTTCTCTACGGGAAACGCTGCCAAAATTTCTACAAAACCAAAGAGTTAGTCAAATTTTATCTTTTCAAAGTTCAATTTATCTGACTTTTATATATTACTTAGTAAAAATATGAAAAACCTCATTTTCTTAAGGGAATGTTGCCCAAAGTTTTGCTAATTCAAAGAGTTAGACAAAATTGGACCTTGAGAAGTCACTTAAAATTTTGAACTTGGTTTTATATAAATATTGGATTGACATTTTTCTGAAGGAAGTGTTGCTGAAATTTTTACAAATCTAAGGAGTTAGTTAAATTATGTCTTAGTCGAACTCAGGTTTCGTTTTGGGTTCATATCTAACTTAGTAAAAATCAAGATAGTCTTATTTTTTAAAGGGAGTGTTACCCAAATTTTTACTAATTCAGGAAGTTAAAAAAAACTTGACTTTCCATAATTAGAGATTGTTCCTATTTTCATATTTGAGTTAGCATAAATTATGAGAAGGCATTTTTCCTACGTGAAACGCTGCCAAACTTTTCTTAGTTTAAAGGAGACAGGTTGTACCTTGACAGGTGACGATTTTGGAGATCCACTCTGTATACAGGAGATCCGGTCATAATCTACCTTTTTCTTAAATATCTGCTTAGGAATAGATGTGGTCAGACTAGTTAATTAAAATCGATGTTAATTAAAATCGATGTTTGCATGAGATTGTCTTCTTCGAGATCCGGTCAGACTTAGTTAATTAAAATCGCTGTTTGCGTGACTTTTTCCTTAGATGTCTCCTTAGAGATCCGGTCAGACTATGTTAATTAAAATCGATGTTTGTGTGAGATTGTGATATCGAGATTAGTCTCCATGGACTTGTAAGTTTAGCTTGGGGATTGACCTATCATGTGTTACAAGTCCTCTTGATCGTTTCATTCAAGATTTTGACTAGATTCAACTTATCACTGATAACAGATCTGTTGCCGATTCGTCGATTTACGGCTTAACTCCAATCCACTCCTGTCACTCAACCTAAAGGCTTTAGCCATGTGGTTTGAATTGTTTTGTTGTGTTTTCGCTCTTTTGAATGTTCATTTAAAAAATGTACTGAGTATTTTATTATGAGGAGTTGCACAAGAGGGATGCGTGTATGGTTAAAGCAAAAGGTGTGAGTGCAGAGAATGGTTGAAGTTGACCCCGTACCATGCATGGACTTTTGGTTGAATCTTTGATGTGATTGCAGGTATGTTGGTGGTTCGGACTTTGGATTTGACTGTTTGTGAGCATATACATATATATGGTTGAAAGGAATCTCACTGTGATTGTGAGAAGTGATCGTCACTTAGTTATAACCCTCTCTATACATATAAATACATATGTCTCGAGTGTTTTGCACGGTTTACTATGAACGCGCGTAACGGTTAAATAAATTATGTTTTTGAGAGAAAAGGGGGATCCCCTGTTATCCTTTGCTTTTTAAAGTTTTTATAGTTGGACGTTGTAGTCCATGACAACTATCACAGTCAAACCTCTTGATTTCTCTTAAGGCCCTGGATGATGGAGTTGGTCTCAAGGGCGATAAGAGACGATTGCCACCACATGTATGAACTTGTGTACTATCCACTCTCCGCAGGGTGCAGAAGAGGGTGTGGTCCTCAACCGCACTTGGCGGTTGTCCAACGTCAAAAGATCAATCCCTCAAGGCGTGTGTCATCCGAGTATCGAATGTGACCCACGAGATTAATGAGAACCATTTGAATATGGTTACTACATAGTACGCCATCATTGCGACTGCTTGCGTATGCTTATATTGTAAATCGATATGAATTAGCCCTGCGTCCGTGCGGTTTTATACGAAGTCTCACGTGCGACGCCTATCTGATTTCTTAATCGGAGAATTATGGAATGGCTACTAAGGGACTAAGAGTGTTATCGCGTTATTTGTTTTGTATTATTTTGTATATGTGTGTCCGCGTGCGTGTTCTAAATTTTTATGTCTTTAGAGTGGTGTACACTTGGTGCATGGGTTTCGTCCTAGTCAACCGATGACTAGTCACACTCGGGACCTCGGCCCCCCAAAGCGTCAGTTCTGTTAGGTTCGATAGAGGCGTAAAAATCGCGCGTACCCCCTATGCTACAGCGAACAAGAAACACCATCGTCTGATCCACCTCTGCGATTGTAGTTGATTAACTTTCGTACTGTAGACTTATAGCTCGGTGGGGATACGCCCACCGAACGGAGGTGACACCTCCCGTAAGGTGAAGATAGTTCGTGCCTCGCATGAGCCTTATCCGATCGTAAGGGCTCGCGAGAGGTATGGCTGGCACACTCGGCCAGAGCAGCTTGCGAAAGCTCCATGTGTATTCGCGACGAGAGTCAGACCAATTCCTACGTGACGCGACCAGGAGGGTCCCACCCCGTCAGTGCCGTGCTGGACCAATGCGCTCGACACCGATACAGTTCTACAAGTAATCCATCATCACCTGAGGCTTTACCTTTGGTTATATGAGAGATGGATATCGTATGCATATATTTTCAGGTCCCCTTCCCCTCTATGGAGTCTCAGCAAAATCCTTAATCTTTCGCTTACACTTGTTAATTGCCATGATGTTGTCTGAAACCACCTTCAGGCGGTTCAGCCACTTCAGGTTACAAGAGCACTTTCAGATTGCCTTTGTGTGCATGCATGACGTTGTCTAAACCGCCTTCAGGCGGTTCAATCACTTCAGGTTACTAGAGCAGTTTCAGATTGCCTGTCCATGCATGAGGTTGTCTGAACCGCCTTCAGACGGTTCAGCCACTTCAGGTTACTAGAGTTTCAGATTGCCTTTGTGTCCATATATTAGGTTGTCTGAACCGCCTTCAGGCGGTTCAGCCACTTCAGGTTACTAGAGCAGTTTCAGATTGTCTTTGTGTCCATACATTAGGTTGTCTGAACCGCCTTCAGACGGTTCAGCCCACTTCAGGTTATTACAAATTCAGATTGCATTTGTGTCCTTGCATAAGGTTGTCTGAACCGCCTGCCACTTCAGGTTACTAGAGCAGTTTCAGATTGCCTTTGTGTCCATGCATGAGGTTGTCTGAACCACCTTCACACGGTTCAGTCACTTCAGATTACTAGAGCAGTTTCAGATTGCCTTTGTGTCCATGCATAAGCTTCTCTAAACCGCCTTCAGGCGGTTCCGTCACTTCAGGTTACTAGAGCAGTTTCAGATTACCTTTGTGTCCATGCATGAGGTTGTCTGAAACCGCCTTCAGGCGGTTCAGTCACTTCA